ATATCACTCCTCAAAATATATCCCAAGGATGCAGAAAAGCACAGTAGAAATGATATCTGTACCTATATGTTCATTGCAGTACTGTTCACAATAGCCAAATCTAGAAACAACCCAAGTGCCTTAGAACAGATGACTGGTTAAAGAAACGTTGGTACATCTACACAATGGAATACTATGCAGCTGTCAGAAGACAGGAAGTCATGAACTTTGCTTATAAATGGATAGACGTGAAAAGTATCATGCTAAGTGAAATGAGTCAGAAAGAGGGGGACAGACATAGAAGGACTGCACTCATTTGTGGAATAACATAAGGCTGACATATAAGAATAATAGGTACATGGGACAGATAGATTGCTCCATAGCTAGAAGACTACCTCATGAGCAAAGGGGAGAAGGCAGCTGGAATAGAGAAGGTATCACTAAGAAAAAGATGGCTGGAGGAATAGGTCCGGATGGGAGATGTGTGCAGAAAGTAGATAAAGGAACAAACATGATAACCTCTCAGGGTCTGTATTGCAAACCATACTGCCCAAAAGTAGAGAGAGATTATAGGTAATCATGTCTGCCATGGAAGCAGGGGAAGGTGAGAAAGGGGGGTATACTGGGAATATTGGTGGTGGGGAATGTGCACTGGTGGAGGGATGGATGTTTGATCATTGTATGATTGTAACCCAAACATGAAAGCTTGTAACTATCTCACAATGATTCAATAAAATTTAAAAAATGATATTTAAAAAAAATATGGGGGGCTGGAGAGATAACACAGTGGATAGGGTGTTTGCCTTGCACGCAGCCAACCCAGGTTCGATTCCCACCATCCCATATGGTCCCCTGAGCACCACCAGGAGTAACTCCTGAGTGCAGAACCAGGAGTAACCCCTGTGCATTGCCAGGTGTGACCCAAAAAGCAAAAAAATAATTAATTAATTAATTAAATTAAAAATAAATAAGTAGAAATATGAAACTAAATTGTATATGGGTTAGACATTAGAGAAATTCTCATTTCTCTCTTGCTGTTTACTTCCCTCTTTCTTACTCTTCATGTTTAATTTTGAACAGTTTTTTTTATCTTTTATGCATATTGCCTTTGCCCAGATTGATATTAAACCAACATGCTAAGTTTTAAAAATAATAATAATAATAATAAATAATAATGAGCAAGAAGGCAAGGAGCCTAAAGAAAATAGTCTACTTCAGCAGACAGACCAAATTCTCAGCTCTAGTCAAGGCAGTGAGAGGAAGGATAGAGAGGAGCAGGTAGATATGAGAGATTTTTCTTCCGATGTGATGCAATATGGTGAAGGATTGAGTCTTGGCAGGAGATTGGAAGAATCAATGAGAACACACTAAGTTCCTAACTTAAAGTCACTTGTCAGCTAATTTCCCTTCACACAAGATATGTTAAAAAAGGTAATAGAGAAAACAGGTACCTAGCTTTTCTGGCGCTATTGTCTAATTGCTTTATATTGGTAAATCTCAACAATCTAGTAAAACCATTGGCTTCTCCAAGACAAAAATTACTTATAAATATCTTGTGTCCATTTCAGTGCTAGGTACAAAAAATAAATAAATAACCAACAATACAACACAACCAATATCTGTTAAATGTTGACAGCATGTATAAGATACTCAAAAGTACCCATTGATTAAGGTAGAGGTTATAAAACATGAACATGTTTAGTTACATAAATTATCTAGAATTACAGGAAAATAGACCAACTTAAATAGATCGATTTAAGTGTTTTCATTTTACTCACCATCAGATAAATACAAATTACAACTATTTCATGCCCATCAAACTTCAGACTTTTGAAACACTTTGAGGGAAGAAATGGCTCCTTGACTTAATCGTTCATCAGGACTCAGCTACCTAACCTAACTGCCTACCAAATTCATGACAAGAAAGAAACCAACTAAGTCTTGGAGTTATTTTTTCCCACAGAATAATTTTCTTACCCTTAACAACATGCAGAAAGTCTCATTTTCTGTCTAGAATAACCCACTGAAAAATGCATGCCCATCTCCATTTCAGAAACTAGGGTAGTAGAATTTGAAAAAAACTATTGCTTATGATTAAACAATTAGTAAGTGGTGGAACCACAGTTTATGCCACCTGTTTCTGGTATCAAAGACCAAGCAATGTGAATCTGTGTGCATTGTATAACAGCGTTATTCAGTTATGAATCAGTTCTATGCATGGACAGAAATGGGCTCTTCCTAGGTAACCTACCTTGAGGAGAAGTTCTGTGTACCCCAAAAGGCTGACACTGACACAGTATAGCCAGAGTTCTTAGCTAGTCAGAGTCCCACTACCAATGTCAGTATAGTGTAGACAATAGTGATACCTTAATCAACCTTTCTGTTTCTCAGTTTTCTCATATAAAAATATAATTTAAAATCTTCCTCCAAAACCTGCTAATTAGTTTTCACTTTCAGAATAAAGCTGATGCTTCAAAAGTTTGCTTTCCTTTAAATCCATCAGAGTGGATGTCTTAATTCAGAAACCTGTCTTGACTACTCACTGAAGAGCTCAGTTCTCTATCCCCTTATATTTCTATTAGGCCTTCCTCAGACCAATGGCCTTCCTCACACTGTAATATTCATATTCTCATCTCCCCCTTACTAAACTTGAAAATGGAGGCAACAGTCTACATACATTGTGATGCCAACACCAAGTTTACAACTGTAGGTGGTTGGTGGAAAATGTTTCATATTTTAAAATGACTATCAGGGGCTGGAGCAATAGCACAGCAGGTAGGGCATTTGTCTTGCATGCAGCGGATGAGTGGGTTTGATTTCCAGCATCCCATATGGTCCCCCGAGCACTGCCAGGAGTAATTCCTGAGTACAGGAGTAACCCTGTGCATTGCCCGGTGCAACCCAAAAAGCAAAACAAAACAAAAAAAAATGACTATCAACTTACTCTCAGTAAACCCTCTAAGTCAATTACTCTAATTATCTGTGATCCTATGACCTAAGAAAACTGATGTTTCTAACTGCAATCGCTGACCAGAATCAAATGCACGAGGCTTGCACTGAATTTTGGTCTTTGGACTCTGCCTTCTGCCAACTCTCCATTCCATCACAGGAGGACTTTTAAAGACTACAAGGGAGGAAGACTCCCATATGGCTCAGGTGTTCTTGCATGTATGAGCAAGATACATATATACATGTATGAGACAACATGTATGAGGCAACATACATACATGTATGAGGCAACACCCCTGTCCTGGCAACACAGGATGTAGCCTCAGTGGTTCCCCAGCACCACCAAACACAATAAGGAGTTACCCAAAAAGTATTAATATTAGTGTTTATTATTTATCATTTTAAATGGCACATATCAAATGAAGGTGTCAAAAGCATTTTTCATAAATTGACTCCAACCCCACAATGTGGAACAAATGCAATTACTTTGATTTTGCACTGGGGAAAGGCAACTTTTCCAGTTCAGACAGATAGCAATTGATGGAGCCAGAACTCAAACTTAGGATTTCTTTAGTCAAAAGAGTTTGTTCTTGGCAGTTTACCTGCTATACTGCAGATTAATTCCAGTAGGAATGATATAGGGTACTCAGAAACAGTACAAATGTTTGGGATCAGTTTGAAGTTCTGGAAAGGGAAGGTCGAATCAGATTAATGGACAGAACGGAATGGATATTTTAAATGTTTGGAACACACTGACACTGGGTAAAAATAAGAGAAGGTCATCTAAAATAAATATCATGCTCAACTCCCTTTCAGTTAATAATATAATAAATATCCTATTTCAGTTCTTATGCTAAGAGCTCCCAACCCCATATTGCAATAACAACGTTTATTTCCTCTTGCACTTGCTACCATTACTTATGTCCCAGAAAATGTTCCAAAACCAGATGAAGTTCAAGAAAGTCACTGGAAATACGTGATCACATTCACCCTCAGAAGTACAGGCTAACTCGACCATGCATCATTAAACAAGCATGTTGGAAGATGATTCAGATAACCAATACAGGAGCAGATGACTTCCAATCATCCTACAGAGAAAGCTATTTTTACAATAACACACATACACAAACAATTGTTTTCCCCTAGTATTCCTCTGTCACACACAGTTCCAGGGGGTTGTAACAACAGGCCTTGGCATTCTACTGCCAAGGCCCAGAAAGCCTTCATGCTGTGAATGGGTGTGAATCATGTGTGCTAGGGGAGTCAAGTTAAATCTGAGTAAAAACAGTAGGGCAAGAAAAAAACCTCTCCCTGCAGAATGAAAACTTCTCGAATGAGGGAATCGCACCAAATTCTCTCACCGCAAGGCAGTAAACCCAGAAAAAGCCTATCTTCCAGCTAAGCACCCCGACTTGGAAAAAAGAAAACTCTGCAAAAGCGGGGGACGGTGAGGAGGACGCTGAGCTGGAGTAAATTCGTGTGTCTGATCGAATGCTGGGTAATAAGCAAAAGCAGAAGATGCTCTATTAATAAAGGTATGGTCCTGTGAACTTTTCAAAAGTAGAGCTAATAGACATATCGAGCTCGCATAGAAAACTCATTCCTCGGGGACTACCTGTAAACTCTGAAGTTTCTGCACAACCTCCTCTGCTTACTTGCTCCCAATCCAAAGTGCTGTGCCCCTCACCACCAATAATCCATGCCCAGTTGCTCCTCTTTCAGTGGCCCCTGAGAGGCCTTAGGAAACAGAATCGGGGGACCCGCGGGAGCACCCCCTCCCTTCCCTGCCATCCCCATTATTCGGCACGCAGCCCTGCTCTCCCCTGGAGCCAACAGTCTGCAGCTCCTTCAATGCAGGCGCGAGCCGGCAGGAATGGTGGGAAGAGAAGCTGTGCCAGCTGCATATTTCAGAATCTCCCTCCATATGCATTTGCCAAAGGAACAAAAAAGGAAATCAATGCCAGGAAAAGACAACTGAGATGAGGATGCGGTGGGACCGCAGCTGACTCTGTGCCTCTGAGCAGCCAGGGGCTGGCCAACCACGCGTCCGAGCCACAGATCCAAGTCGTTACCTTCAGGATGCAGGCCATGGCGCTCCGCCGGCCCTCCTGCCACCGAGCAGCGGGCGCGCCTGGGTTAGGGGCAGTCCCGGGGACAGGCAGACGGCTGGTACCGCGGCAGGACCGCTCCAGCCCACATTCCCGCAGATCCAAATAAGGGGACCGGCGCTAGCTGCGCGGGCACAGGCCCCGCCCCCCTAGCCGAGGCCCCGCCTCCGGTCCCGTCCACTGGCTGGAAGCCCAGAGGCCCCGCCTCCCAGGTCACGTGCCGTTCCGGCCCTGGCGACTGCCCTCGGGGCTTGCTACTTTTTCTTTCATTCACCACCCCCCCAGGCTCAGTATATACGGGCTGTTCAGCAGCAGGCGGGGATATGATCCGCTTGGGGAGAGAAAATCGGTCCTTTCTTCTCGTCGCTTAGGTCTTCTCGAAAAGATCAGAGTGATCTGAAGACATTTCACACGTTTAGAAAAGTTAAATGGGCTTGGAATTGCCACTCCACTGACTGTGGGCACATCAAAGGATTCTTCAAAAGTAGCCCAAAAAAATGTTCCCTGACCTGTTTTAAAGATGGAGCCTTCACACTACTTCAAAACTCTGTGATGGCTTATCTCAAGTTATTTTTGCCATAACAAAGGAGTACAGTTATCCCTAGCAAAGAAGCTGAAAACTACTTAATGTGCACACATGGACACACAAAACAGAAGAATCTGTACAAGTGTGCATTTGTGTATATGAAAATTCATGGCCTCTCCATTTTTAGCCTGTCAGTTTATGAAAAATGTGTGTACACATAAAGATAAAGCAGACTGGGTATACCATAGACATATATTATTGTTTATGGATATAAATTGTGCATGTGCATATCTATAATACATTCCTGCTCAAAGTTTAGACTTTAACTGGACTTTGTTGCTACTTCAGTAAGGTTATAGAGCTTAATTTTCCACCTGGCTTGAAAATCCAGAGAGGCTGCATTTCAGTATTCAACTCTGACCCTGAAACAAAAGTCAATACAGTCACTCTAACTAAAAACACCTGGTTGCTGGGCAAAGACAGGTTTTACGTCCTCCCCACCCTTCCTCTGCAAATTTTCTCTGAAAATTAACAAGGAGGGTGGCAGGAGCAACAGTGCAATAGGGCACTGGTTTGCCCATGATGGACCTGAGTTCTATCCCCAGCAACCCATTATTTCCCTGAGCATAACCAGGGGTGATCCTCGAGTGTAGAGCCAGGAGTAAACCCTGAGCACAACCAGGTATGGCCTAATTTTCACCCCCCACCCCAAGAAAAGCCTAATGTTCAAACTAGAAACAACTAAGAAAAGATGTTTATTTTACAGGGCAGTAGCATCAGAAGACAGAACATTCTGTGTTTATACACAGATTTCAACCACTTGATCTGTCATAGAAATCTTAAAACCACCCACTCCCTAAATATTTATCCAAAAGAGATTTCCTTGCTAGCAGGTCTGTCTAGTTGGACTCTCAAGGAGTCAAGAAAAGTACAGTGGGTTTCCAGGGCTGTGAGGTCAAGAAACTGAATTACATACCACAAGGCAGAACCAAGCCTTTTCAGGGATTGGTTGTTTGCTTGATAAGAATATTCAGAAGTCTGAGCAACAGGCAGGAGCACTAAGGAAAAGTTCTGGAGCCGGAACAATAGATGAACTGCCTACGCCAAGAGAAGCTCCTTCTTTTCAGTTCCTCTCAAGAGAATACATGTTCGCCCCATACATGTGTCCAGCCTTTTCTTCAGTGTGGGGTATCTGTAGCATTTTCACTAACAGCTCTTGGACCAGGAGTTTAACTTTAAACCATTACTCCAGCTCATAGGCTCACAGGCTTCATTCAGGAGGCCATGAAAATTCAGTATTTTATGCATTTTGTAGTTTCAACAAACCTTTAATGAACTACGAGTAGAAAAAGACAGGTTTTGAGCTACCACTACTGAGGAGAACGGGAGATGGATACTTACTGAGGTTCTATAGGATATCAGGACTGAGAGAACTCCACGGTCTTAACTCTCATGGTCAAATGGGAAAGAGAAATTCAAGATAATGTAACACAGTAAGGCCTTTAACCAAAATGGAAGCAAACCTCTGTTGAAAGAGATTTTATGCCTGACCAGGTGGCAGTTAGGAGAGCCCTGAGCCCACAGAGCACATTATTTTCACTCCAGGAAGTCTGCAGATCTGGAAAACAGCCCTGAGGAACTCTGTAAGTAGACTCAAAAGGTAGTTCTTTACTAGATGATACTGATCAAGTTTCTTAATCTTTCCATTGGTTATACAATAGCATCAGTCTCATGAGAACTAAAGAAGAAGTGAATGCAATTTATAAATATACTTATTTCAATTCCTGGCACTAAGCATATCCTCAAAATGGCAGCTCTTTATCTAAAGATAAAGCTACCTTCTGGGAGTAGAGTAACAGAACAATTGCTGATCATGTTGAATGTCTCATCAGCATTTGTGGTTCAGATGCTTAACATCTTGTGACCTGGGTATGCCCTAGTGAGTTTTACTAGTTTCGCATATCTTCAAGATGGCTTTCTCAGTCAGACTATCATCCATTCATATCCATATTTCTCAAATAAGTTTATTGTTTGCTCGGTTTTGAGCCACATCAAGAAGTGCTTAAGACTTACTCCTGAGTCTGTGCTCAGGGATCACTCCTGGTGGTGGTCAGGGGACCACATGAGGTACCAGGGATCATACCCAGCTGGGCCTCATTCAAAGCAAAACACCCTACCTGCTGTACTATCTCTTCAACTCTTCAAACATGAACCTTTTTAATCTGCTTTAGTTTGGGCACCAAATCTGACCATGTTCATGGGCTACTTCCAACTTAGTATTGGGGATTACTTCCAGCAGTGCTCTGAGGACCATGGGGTGTCAGGAACTGAATTCTGATCTTTTATTCATGAATCATGTAATCAGCCCCTTTTGTAAACTCTCCAGTCCCTTTATATTTTTAAAATTAGAACCCACAAGAAATACCAAAATACAACCAAAGGTACATTTATAACATAAATTTAATAGATTCTATAATAAATCTGGATCAAAAGTTTTACAAAACAATACTGTCAATGTTTCAGATGGATGATGACAGGAGGAAAGAATAAGCAGATGGATGTAAATAAAAACAGGTTCTGAATCTATTAGGAAATGGAAGTGTAGCCAGATTTTTGGAAGAGTAGGAAGGAGTGGACAGGATTATTTGTTTTAAAACTGGCCAAAATACAGCAATAATTTAGTTTAACCTACAGATATAGCAGAGTTCTACAAGCCTTTATGTGACTTAAAATCAAGACTTTAATTCCAAAAATAGCACCAAGAAAGAAGAACCTTGCAATTAAGTGCAATATTCCATTTGATCCTCACAGTAACTCTATGAATCCTGGGGTCCCCAGTAAATATGTGGAGGAATAAGAATTTAAATCCAGATAGTTTGACTTCTAGGTCTGCCTATAAGTCCTATAGTCTGCCAGCTAGTATGTTAGCAGCCCCTCTCACCCACTTTACATAATTCAAATCCATTCTATTTTAGATTTGATAAAAAATAGGGTAAGTATGCATTATATTTAGGATATACACAAGAATACAAAATCTAGGGTAATACTACATAACAAAATATTTTAGTATATAGAAGATAGACCCTATATCTATAAACCTATAGTCCCTGAATTCTACTTCAATGAAGATATTGCACATTCTCCAGGCTTCCTGGACCACTATGACCACTTTCTGCCCATGTGAGTGAACTACCATGAGACTCTCACTACTCTATCTCGCCAAAGATATGGGACCTACCAGTCTTTGCTTTCCCTTCAAGCATAGAATATTAGAGTCTGACCCTAGAACAGCTCTAGCCTCCCTAGGGATCTTCTGGCTTTCCATTGGTCCATCTTACATCTCCTCTCATGCTTTCCACCAATCATATCTCAACATACCTTAAGACTGAAACTTCATAAGTTATGACAAGTGTTCAGCTAAAATGTCCTATTTAAATTCAGTTTTGCTTCATTGTAAACAGCCCCATTACCAAGTAATTCTCAGAGTTATAACACAGTGCTGATAGAAATAGAATTAAAAAGCAGACTCCTATAACTTTTGCAATTTCATCCTGCACACATTAATTTAATGTATTTATATTCAACACACAGTCATTTATTAAAGTTTTAATTGGATCACAAAATTTCCAATCTAAATATTTTAAATGAATTCCAGATATCATAAAACCCATCTTGTCATCCACTACATAAATTATATTTCCATAGAAAATGGTAACTGGAAGATTCATTAGACAATGTTATGGGGAAGTAATTCTTTTTAACTTTCTAAAGCAGAATAAAACATGATTTTGTTTATAAAAACATAATACTATTACAATTTGACCTAGGGAGCGATATCACAGCGGGTAAGGTGTTTGCTTTGCTCATGGCAGACCTGAGTTCGATTTCTCTGCTCCTCTCTGAGAGCCCGGCAAGCTACCAAAAGTATCTTGCCCACATGACAAAGCCTGGCAAGCTACCCGTGATGTATTCGATATGCCAAACACAGTAATAACAAGTCTCACAATGAATGGAGATGTTACTGGGCTTGCTCGAGCAAATTGATGAACAACGGGAGGACAGTGCTACAGTGCTACAGAGTATGTAGCTCTCTTTCAACGTTTATGTGTTTGTGAATCTGTGTCCTAGTAAAACTTTGGCTGTGCCCTTTTAGGTGAATATTTATGAGGATGCATTGACCTGCATTGACCTGTGTGCTGAAGCTTCACTTCCCTCCATTTGGGATTGTAAATCATCTCCAAAAGCCATCCATTTTGCATTCTTAAAACTTGTGCTTACTGCTTTTTACAAAGCTTTATGTAGTTCGAACCTAGAATTCATCATTATCCTCTGCTATACTGATAGTTTGTCTTGGGATAAACTCCAAGAAAAATTATGCATGATGTAAAAAATGCATTTTAAAGATATAATATACTTTCACATTCAGAAATGCTTTCCCTTAACTTCATCTCAGCTCAACTTATTTTTTGTGAAGTTCCAATCTGTTCTTAATTAAGAGAGAAAACCCAGAAATTAATATTATTTATTTAATTTCATTACATAGAGTTCCTCAAACAAATTTGTCCTATCACCCCCTTTTCGGGTAAAAGATCAAAATCAGTATACCCCGGAA